AATGTGAATATACTTAACACTAGTGAACTGTATACTTAAAAATGGTTAAGATGGTAGGGCCGGCCCAGTGGCTCACTCGGGAGAGTGCAGCACTGGTAGTGCCAAGGCCACGGGTTCGGATCCTATATAGCGATGGCCGGTGCGCTCACTGGCTGTGCGTGGTGCTGACCACACTGTGCCCAGGGTTGCAACCCCTTACCGGTTAAAAATAAATAAATAAATAAAATGATTAAGATGGTAAATTTTACATTATGTGTTTTTTTAAAATCACAATTGAAAATAAAAAAAATTTAATGAATAACCCTAAAAATTATGAAAGACTAACATTTAAAAATAAACTTTAAAATAGTTTGAACAATTTTTTTTTTAAAGTTGGAGTGGGGCATTACAAAGTCTAGCAAAATCTCATGGATGTACCATCCAAAGCTGAGTAAACACATAACACCAAAGGTCTTCAAATAATATTTATGAGATCCCAGCTGGGGTTCGCTTCCTCTTGGCTTTCAGATGTAAGAGGAAAACTCAGAACTTCCAAACTCCAAAGAACTTTCTAAGAGGACACTTGACATTTTTATGTTTATTCTTGGCATCAGTGGAATTCTATATAGTATTTGTGTGAATTATAAATTCTATGATATGCTTACCTGCTTTTGAGAAGAAATAAGGGGCTCATAAGACCCCAATACCAAGAGCACTTAAAAGGGAGTAAGACTGGAAAAGCAGCAAAATTGTTTGGCTAAAACTACTTTTCTACTGTCATTATAAACCCTTTTCCTGGTGACCATTTTCCATGCTCATTGTGACCGTTCTGCCTTTTTCCCCTGTTTCCCAGCTCTTCCCCAGCCACCAAAGCTCGTAGTTTGATAAAGGAACTACTTGCTTACTATTGTTTCTAATGTCTGCTGTTCTTACATGCTAGAAGCCTGACCGTGAAAAATTAAGCCTTTATCATATCTGCACCGATTGTTATTATATTTGATGAGTCTTCAGAAACTGAAAACTTCTATCTAAAGAACAATTTCAGGGTAAAGAAGATGAATTACTGCAAAGTTAATTTGTAAAAAGCACACCTGCTGAATGCTTGCTCCCATTACTGTGCCAAGGAAATCCGGTTGTATAGGCAGCGGGTTAACCAAGACCCCCCCAATTGTATTTTTTTTTTTTTTTTTTTTTTTTCCCCCCCCCCTTTTTTTGGTAACACTGAACAGATGTGCTTGTAGAACTTCTTTAGTTTTTGCTTACTCACCTGTCCCTCTTCTTCCTTCTCTTGCTTTTTCTTCTGGCTTATCCCTTATTTCTTATTACATGGTGGAAAGCTTCTGGTGATGAGTTCAGTATTTTTCTTATTTTGGTGACCAGAAACATTAAACTTTCATAGATGTGATTTTGTGACAATGGTCTGCTGTCCTTTCACTTCCCTCAACTGACCTGCTTCTGTATCTCAGTTATCACTGCTTTTTTTTAGAAAAAGGAGTGGAGACTGACCGTTGGGACACAGCATTGTGAGGTGCTCATTCTGCCAACTCCTGGGTCAAGGAGCACTTCCCTGCAAGGTTGGTTGCACTGCTGTGTTCCAGGTCAGATGGTTTCAGGGATGGGGTGGGCAGGGAGGTGAGAAGGGAAAGGCAGGAGTTTATAGAATCCAGCCAAAACATGTTGTTGCTTTTAGGCAACTAAATTACTCTAATTAGATTTTGTAATCTCATACTTAGAAGTGAGTTACTGAAATGATCTACTGAAAGAAAAAAGAAAAAAGTCTCACTGGCAATTTAGCCAGGTGGATTTCTCATTCTCCTGGGAGAACAGTGTGAACATATCAGTGCTGGCTTCATCCTTTACCTGCTCCCAAGCACATGGTTACCCACAGGATTCCAGCACAAAGCAGAGGAGTGATGAGCTACAAATGTGTTCTTTTAAACAGGCAACAACTGTTTGTTTCTAAGAACTTTGTTGATTTTTAGGTAAATGAGGAGAAGGCTAATGGCAACTGGGCATATAAATTTTTTTTTCAATCAATAAATTTTGTAACCATTTTGACTATAGGCCTAAACTGGGTGAGATGAAATGTTCTATTCCCTCTTCGAATAAGTGTAGGCTTGCTGTCAGGAAGCATGACATGAATAAGTGTAGGCTTGCTGTCAGGAAGCATGACAGAGAGAATCTTCCAAGATTTGGATTAAGACATTGTAGTCGGTTAGATGGTAGCCCCCCAAAGATATGTTCCATGTTCTGGAAGCAGTGAATATGACCTTCTTTGGAAGAAGGGTCTATGTAGATGTAATTAAGTTAAGGTACTTGACAAGAGAGCATCCTGGATTACCAGTCAGCCCTAAATCCAATGACAAATATCTTTAGAGGAGAGACAAGGAGGAAAAATCCAGGTGAAGACAGAGGCAGAGATTGGAGTTATGTAGTCACAAGCCGAAGAATGCCTGGAGCCAACAGAAGCTGGAAGAGGTGAGGAAGGATTCTCCTAGGGCCTTTGGGGGAGCACAGCCTTGCTAGCACTTGGCTTTAGACTTCTAGCCTCCAGAACTATCAGAGAGTAAATTCCTGTTATTTTCAGCCACCAAATCTGTGTAATTTGTTATAGCAGCCCTAAGAAGCAAATACAGATTTCTTCCTTAACATTTCTAGAATCTTATACTGTGAAACTCTGTTCAGGGAACAGTAATAGTATTTCGGGGTGCCAGCATGGCAGGGAATGGCTAGGTGCTTAACTTAAATTAAACCTATTTTAAAGATGAAGAAATCAAGGCCCAAGGTCCCATGATGACCGTGTGGGGAGCTGGGTGAGAATCCTGCAGAGAGGCAGTGTGGAGGAGTGGGTACAAGCTTGGGCTCTGGATCCTGTGTGAGTTTCAATCCCAGTTCTGTCCTTACTAATTGTGTGCCCTGGCTAAGTTACCCAACCATTCTGACCCTCGATTTCCTCAACTGCAAAACAGGAATGATAATAGAACTTCATTCAATTACTGGGAAGGTTACAAAGTATAAAGTATTTAGAATAACACACAGGAAGGGCTAAATGAATGTAAGCTATTACGATTGCTACCACACTATGCTAACATACTATTGCTAGATTATGAATACTGGACAAGAATAAAAGAGAATGGGCAGAGCATGTGACCTTTATTAGTTACTAAATTAGAAACCAGTTTTTAGAGAGATTATTCTTCAGAATGTTTATTCAATTCTGGTGTGGCTATTGTAAAGGAGACAGAAAGGCCTCTGCAACCTTGATAGTGACTGCTCTTTGTTGAGTTGAGTACCTAACATATGCTAAGAATTGTACTAAGCACTTTGAATATATTATCTCACTTCAAAGATGAGGAAACTGAGTCTAGATAAGTTGTTTGTACTGTTCTTATTTTCAGAAGCCAAGGAAGAAACAACACTGGGATTCAGTCCTAGAATTCTCTCACTCCACAGTGTTCTTCCTATGACACCATCCTGCCTCCTGGACAGTGGCTTACAAATGCTAAGTGTCCAACAAGTACTTTTCAAATTAGTAAAATGAAGCTTCACTATCAATAACTTTAAAGTAATATTGGAGTTTCCCAAAATATTTTGAAATGAAGAAACTGTTGCCAACCATTTAAGAGCCATAAGTCTCTTGAAACATTATAGCAAAAAGGGAAGGATTAGAAAACAGCTATTCACAAGATAAATCTATTTCTTTTTGTCCACACCCCCTACCCTTTTTTCCTTTGGCTGAGGGTCATTTTTACTATAGACTGAATAAAATGGGCAGGCAGCTAGTGGTAGTCTAGGTTTATTAAATTCTATTTCCTTTTCTTTCTTAAAAATAAAAGAACCAGGAAAAAAATGAATATCTTATTATTAAAACTAACTATCCTCACTTTTATTGTTAACATTTTTGGAAGACAATGTTTCCTTTTACTTTATTTTTCTCTTAATTTGTCCTATGTAGTTAATTAAATGCTTACTAAAACACTTATTCCTCTTTTGTACCAAAGGTCTTCCAGAATAAGATGCTGCTCCATTTAAATAAAAGATGAAGGATGTGGAAACAGAAGCAGACTTTACCCAGCAGACCCATAAATAAGACAGGAGCTGGTGCTATGCAGTTCTGACTTTGGCACTTGTACTGGGATTGGCTTGTTCTAGGCCAGGAATTCTTATTTTTTTAAATTTTAATTTTGCAAATGGAGACACATAGACAATAAGTTACAGCACAGATACATTTGATTTATACACTATTAATGTTTATATTAATTGCCTGAAAATACATGAGTAAAGTATAATATGAACGAACCAGCAACTTTGATAGTAACTGCTCTTTAAAGTTTTACTTTCATTCTTCTGTCATTTAATTTTCAATCAAAATATTAACTAAACATAGGTTTCTATAACTAATGTGCTAAAACACATGTTGAAGGTAACATGCATGTCAGCCTTGATTTTTCTCACTCCATGACATGGTCTGAATCTTAAAACCTCACAAAGTGCAGCTAGATATACTGATGTAAAAGCCCCACCCATGGTGCCAATGGCACAATTTCCATGGTAACTTTAATGATTGAAAAGGAAAAAACAGGAGTCTAAAGAAGATTGCACAAAGTGAACAAAATAAATTATTGCACTGAACATATGTGGCATAAACAAAATATGGGGTGCAGTTATTAAAAATGAATTTAGGACAGGGGTTCTTAATCTGGAGGAGGCCAAAGACTTGAGGGGGTTGGCATCTATGAATCCCTTGCAATGTATGCAAATTTTGCATAGATGAACATTTTTCTGCATACATTTCAAAGGAACCTGTAATGTCTGTAAGCTAAGAACCACTGTTCTGAGGCCTAATTGCTAAAGTTAATTACTATATTTTACTCCTTTTATCATCTTAAATGCCAATATAATATTCAGCATATAAATAAATGTTTGTTGGTTACTTAAGAGAGAACTCGAAGCTTCATCTTGTTGAAGATGTCATGTTGCAATCAAAAGGGCCCATGATAAAATCAAAAGAATTCACCTGCCTGGGAGGGTCCAGATCTGTGTCCTTGGCCTTGCAGCTCCAGGAATGATCCTGTGTGGGTCACTTATTCTCCCTGGGTTGCTGTTTCTTCATCTGTGAAATAAAGATTTGAATTAAATAAACCCAAATATTCCTTCAAACTTTGAAACAATTCTGTCCCATGTAAAATGTCATTAAACCACTGAGATGGATAATCTTCCACAAAGGTCTAGAATGTATTATAAAAACAAGGCATGGCAATTGTTAAAAACTATTTTAGGGAAGGTCATCATTTAAGGACATGCCATTGGTTAGTGATTTCTCAATCGTATTCAGAGGACTATAAGGTGCTGCAGGTACCAGGACTGGGGGAGGCCCAAATTGGAACAGAGAGGCAGAAGCTAAGAACCCCCCACTGCTTCCATCAGAACAGCCTGCTTTTAATCTGCTGTTAGTGAAATTTTGTTATCTGTAGAAAATATTTCTTGATTTTAATTAGTTTCTGTTAATATCCATGAGGGATGGTGAGAAGAAAAAGAGTTTAGGTTAATCACTGTGTTTAATAATCTGTCTTTGAAAAAACACTGGATATAGAGTCAGAAGCCCTAGGCTTATTTCCTATTTTGTCATTTATTAGCTGGGCAAGTCATAGTCATTTTCAGTCTTTTTCTTCACATATAAAACAATGATAGTGTCTTATGCCTAGAGTAGTTGAAAGAATTAAATGAGATAATAGTTGTAAAAGTATTTTGTAATTAGTAAAGCATCATAAAGATGGTTAGTGGGTTTTCATAGTGGGCCCAGGGCTTTGCTTTCATCCTGACCATTGTAGCAATTTTGTTTATCTGAATTAAATCATGGAAAGTATGAATGATCAAATTAGAGATGGCCCTACATTACGGAATGGGGAATACGAGGCTTAGCAGACTGGAGTGTTCAAGAATTTGAGGGTAAAACTTTGGGGGAAACAAAAGGTCCTGTTATTCGGTTCAAAAAGTCAATTGCCCAAGGGTAAGGTGGGGGAGATTTGGCTAGTGCACAGTACAAGTAAAAAAGACTAAGGAATTTTTCTTGACTTTAAGTTCATTATGACCCAGTAGTGTTGAGATACGTTTGACAAATAAATAAATAAGTGATAACAATATTTTTATACGTTTATAGAAGTACGGTGCCGCAGATCAGAAAAAGGTGCTATGGCTCTTGGCTTTGATTAACATCCTTCTTCCAGTCAGATGTTAAAAACAGTCATTCCAACAAGCTGAACACATCCATAGGAAGCTAGATGGATAAGGTCTGGAAGGTTTCCTATGGAAACACGGAGAGAAGGTTTTGGGGGAAAGTGTCATGGAGGTCTTAAAAGATCTAAAAAGCCTGAAACAGTCTAATAGGCTGCCATGGAGGAGAGGGTTTGGAACTGTTTTACTGTTTTCAGAGTGAATCTTAGGAAAAACTTTAAACAAGAGCTGTCTAAAGGGAAATGGGTTATCTGGAGAGGTAGTTGAGAGCTCCATTAGGGAACTTGTGCAAGCTGAGACTAGACAGCACCTTCTGAAGTTTGCTCTGAATCAGGAAGGTTTTAACTTAAGAGATTACTACAATTTTACCAATTCGAAGATACTATTTCTACAGTAGAATTAAGTATCCCACTGGAGAATGTCTTGTTTTGTTAAAAATGTTTTTTGCCATAGTAAAAGAGTTTCAATTTTGAAATTGGCAAACTGGAGTTTGCTATTCTGGATGTTGTTTAACCTCTCTGGACATCAGTTATGTTATCAGTAATATAAAGATAATTAATTATGTCTGCATTGTTGTGAAGGTTAAACAACATAACTTTGATAAAGGATGCTTAATGGTGCCGGGTCTTAGTGGGGGCTCAAAGACAGCACCTTTCCTCACAATTATTATTTCTTCCTCCAATTTTCTACATGCATTTTATTTCCTCTTGTCTAAGAGTCCTTTCAGGTGACTCTATTGAACCCTTCGGAGACATACGATATAAGTGGGAAAAAGGTGACTCTCATGAGTCTGGGAGAAAGAATTCATCCAGGAGGAAGTTAGTAGGTCACAGTGGTACCGAATCATGTTTTGTGTTTGCATCGACTTTTGTTTCCTCCTAAATGGAGGAAACCTGTGGAACAACTTTTTTTTTTTGGTCCTAAATTATAATCTGATTTTCCTGCCCATCAAAACAAGAACTAGGCCAACCTGATTTCTTTTTTCTTTGTTTAAAGTTTTAGGCAATGAAACACCCGATTGAAATTTGAAGTCCCAAGCTCTTCATTGTGGAGTAGACAAGGTATCTGTAGCCTCAAGAGGTAAGAAGGGTTGGCAACTGAAATATTGGTGTCAATATGTATTCTTTTTATGCCTAATTTTCCAATCAATAAAGTGACTCTGAGTTAATTTTACTTAAAAATTATTCTTCAGTGGACTAGTTAATAAGGGAGAAGCAGGTTACTATTAGGAGAAGATCAAACACATGGGATGCTGTTCTGTCAAGCATACTGCCAAATATTAAGTGAGAATCTTCCACTTCAAATACCTGAACTAAGGGAGAGAGTAAATGTCCTATTATGCTCTCTCCCCATGACAGTCCTTTGGTAAGTAGTTCACGTCGAATTTTATGAGTTTTTCTACTCTGCTCCTTAACTACCTTTTCCTGGAAAGCAATTTGCTCTAAAAAGCAAATTTGTACTCCACAGCATTAGCTGTTCTCAGTTAAGATTCTTCCCAAGAATCCACACATATTAGAATTGATTTTTAAATAATTCTACAAACAAGAAACAAATTAGAATCTATAGCTAATCAAACTGATAAATGTTAGAGTGGACATGATCAAGTCATAGCTTGTTATCCCTGAAGGAGTTGCCTTGTTTATGATTACAGATAACTAGGTTAATTGGTTGCATGACCAGACTGCGAAATAACTTATTTAAAGCATTATAAGAGAAACTGAGGCTATTTAACATATAGTAGTATTCACGAAGGCCATGAAAATTGAGTAGGCACTTTCTATAGCATGTAATTTAGTGAGTAGTAGTAATATTTAATTATAAATGTAGAGCATGGGCCATATTTATAAGTTGCTGAATTTTCTATTGCAGCTTTACACAATATGATACTAATAGTTATATGTACAACTATATACTTCTTGGTATTATTTACAACTATACATACATATATGCATTAATCTATGTGTATATATATATAAATTTTTATTTTAAAGTAATGGAATTAATTTTATAAGTTTTAAATAGGGAGTCAATTACTAGGTCAGAAGGCTATTTGTTTATTTCTAAGTTTTGTTTTCATTGTCTTGGTAGGCAACATGTTAAACTTAAAAGCTGTCAGAGCAGAGCATATGTAAAATTTTTAGGAAAAACGTTGCTTTCTTTTACCTTTTAACCTCACCCAAGAAATATGATTGTATATTATGTGACGAATAATGCTCTTCTATCCCTGGTATAATACTTCAAAAAACTTGCTCCAGAAATAGTACAGTTAATCAGATCTTCTCAACTATTTGAGTGACAAATATTGATTTTTGTATATTAAATCCAGTATGAGTGAAGGTAGATGAAGTAAAGATAGTAGCTAAGTCAGAAGAGTCTGTTGACAACTTTAAGAGAAATATTGTTGCTAGACAAGTAGTCTTTGGTCTTTAAGGACAAAGGAATAATTTCTTTGTTTATTAATAGTTTTAATCACTGTTAAAATGATACTTTCTAATATAGAAATAAAATGTCCCCCTGAAATATCACAATAAAAATTATGAAATATCATAAAAGTATACACACCTATAATTTTACCACCTAAGAAAACCCCACATATTGTGGCATTTTGGAATTTTTTTCTATGTATTTTTTATTCTTTTAGACTTGGTTGTAATCATAGTATGTATTTAATTCTGTATCCTGATTTTTTCAATTACTTTTACTCAGAAGGGTTTTTTTCTATGTCGTGACACCATTTTTCTAATCGCCTTTCTCGTAATTGCATTAGGCTAAATTTTAAGTCAACTGAAGATTTATTCAGTTCATACCACAAACACTTATTGAGCCACTACTATGAGCCCAACACTGTGCCGGGCACCTGACAAAAACCCCTACCCCTGCTCATTCTATGGGAGGATGGCAGAGAATGCACGCCCGGGCACCTGACAAAAACCCCTACCCCTGCTCATTCTATGGGAGGATGGCAGAGAATGCACAGATGGTACGTGAAAGAAATTCTGTGAAATGTTTAATTTGGTGCCATTAATATCCTAGTGTTAAGTCCTCGAGTTGCTCACTTGGTTACTGATTATCAGTTAAGGTAGGTAGGAAATATGTGTATAAATATGTGTAGATACTGTCCTAGGTTTAAGTCTATTAAACTTATGAAGCTTTTTTTTTTTTTTTTTCATTTTTCTCTCCAGATATGCAGCAGTTATAGCCTAGTGATGACAGAAAATTCTTGAGGCTAAAGGAAGGTTCTGCCTAGATAGTTGATCAGAACAGCTTCCATTTATTGTGGGCCTGGGCATGTGCGCCAGACACCACCCTGGATATTGACATACTTTCTGTCATGTGTGACAGCTGCCAATTCAGAGCTTCCAGGGCCATCAGAGGCTCCAGTCTGAGTAATTAAAAAAAAATTTTTTTTTTTTNTCAACTGAAGATTTATTCAGTTCATACCACAAACACTTATTGAGCCACTACTATGAGCCCAACACTGTGCCGGGCACCTGACAAAAACCCCTACCCCTGCTCATTCTATGGGAGGATGGCAGAGAATGCACAGATGGTACGTGAAAGAAATTCTGTGAAATGTTTAATTTGGTGCCATTAATATCCTAGTGTTAAGTCCTCGAGTTGCTCACTTGGTTACTGATTATCAGTTAAGGTAGGTAGGAAATATGTGTATAAATATGTGTAGATACTGTCCTAGGTTTAAGTCTATTAAACTTATGAAACTTTTTTTTTTTTTTCATTTTTCTCTCCAGATATGCAGCAGTTATAGCCTAGTGATGACAGAAAATTCTTGAGGCTAAAGGAAGGTTCTGCCTAGATAGTTGATCAGAACAGCTTCCATTTATTGTGGGCCTGGGCATG